TTTTTACGAAAAAACTAATTTCAAAAGTTGTTTAATGTTTTTCTCAAAACATGATTTTTAACCGGAAAAAAATGGAATTCCTCCCACATGGTTTGAAATATAGTTAATATTTTTTTTTTGTTTTGAAGCTCTAAGCAAGAGTAAAGTTTTACTCGATCAGATTTCTAGACTGAGAAAAATGGGATTTAATATGACAGGGATCATCATCTTTGGCTGATTTAGATCCTTCCAACTCACCGAAATGTTTATACAAAAGTTGCGCGCAGAAGTCAACTTTAATTTAAGACGACCACTGCGAATTATGTAGCCCTCGTAATGTCAGAGCCTTAGGATTTCTCCTGAAGATCATAAATGGACTATTCGTGCTGGGAGTGAGGTTTCCTTAAAATTAAAATACTATTTAAGTCTTAGATAATGAACTGTGAAGAAGGAGACTATCGTTCATTTTATATTCCATCGGAACTATATCTTTTGTCTACTTTATTCCATAATATTTCGATGATAATATAAATAAATGATTGGTTTTAGATCAATGAAAAAATTGGTAATCACGATAATCCTTTTCTATTTTTGTTGACCCATCCACTCTGCTTTACGTTAACAAGTATTGGATGCATATGTTGTTGGTATCTTGGACACAATATGCATATGTACTATCAATGGATAACTGGTCTTATTCTGTATTCTCTAGTTGGTTTATGTATCTGTTTAACAAAAATATGTTGTATCAATTTTGTTCTATAAATAAAAGGAATGAATGGGAAAAAGCAGAAAGGAAAAATGTAGAAAATAAGAATATGAGATGAAAATGAACATGTAAGATTGAATTAAGGGTGAGAGAGATTTGTACTTGAATATACTCTCGTTTTCAGAATTTCTATTCATTTACACATGTATTATTTTTGTTTTCGATATTTTTCCCTTTCTGCCCTTTTTCATCATACGAATAAAAGTATATATTTCTTTCTTTTTTTCATCAATGATTAGCATTATTACCGAGAAAACAGAACTGATATGATCAGCGATTATAGATAGATTTACTGTATTACTTGCTTTTAAGCGGTCTTGGTGGATGAAATTCATTTTTTTCTTCGACTTTTGAAGATGCTGTTATTAACGAAATTAGATGAAATAAATAATCTTCGTAATTGTGTAGTATCAAGAATGTTAGCAATTAATAATCAATCTATTTCATTGTTCAAATCTTGTTCATGAGTGTTGTAACTGCTCCTATCCAGTTATGCATAACAATAGATGAGGGAAACGTATCTATCCATCACGAGAATGGTGTACATAGCTTATTTATTATTTTCTATCTTATGCAGGACAATTGCTTGTTTTTATGGTCATATTATCCTGTCGATAACGATTTTTTCGAAAAATTCCGCGAATTGCAACTGATCAAATCATTATTCTTTTTTTTTTCTTTTACAAAACTTTTTTTAAATAATGTTTATTGAAAATTGTAAAAATTCAAGTCAAATAAACTATAAATAACAATATTGTTCAAATCTATATAAAGAAATTTCTCATTAATATTATTATGTTTTAATCAATATTAGGATATTAGAATGCTTATTCTCAATCTCTATACTGATGATAAAGATGAATAACATTTCGGTTTTTTCGATCCGATCGTTTGAATATTCTCATTTGTTATGATATGAGAGAGTCTAATTAATTATTCTAAATAATAAAGATGAACAAGAAATTTTCAAGAATAAACTCTTCTCAATGACACATTGACCAATTTCTATGAGTTATATTAGAAATAATTGTCCTATACTTGCTTTGTTTTACCGTTTTTGATTGTTTATTGAAATTTTCAAGATATAAACTTATCTTTGCTATTATTAATCTGATTCATTTGATAAATATTGATTTATAGAAATGATCAAGAGGGTGGGTGTGGGTGTCGGTTTAAGTGAGTGAACAAGTATCACCTAGAGTTCGCTCACACTCACACCCCATCTTGAGTCTCAACTAGACATCGGCGTGATCATAAAGTCGTGACTAAAGAAAAAAACATTGTTCGATAGTATTTTTCAAGTTGAATATGATAAAAATACTTTTGATATGATCCTTTGTATTCAAAATTTTTTCCTCTACAAAATGATGTATAAAACTTGAGAATACAATAATCTGCTCGAGAAAAAATCACAAGTAATTTTGTATTGAACTGAATATTCTGAGAGATGGATTAATTGATTCATAACATGAGTAGACAATATTTTATTCAAGTATTATGTGAATAGTTATAATTCATTGTTGAACATCTTCAAAAAATTCTTGCCATTGAACTAATCAATCATAATGATCGCTAGTTACTTCATTCATTATATAATGACAAATATGAAGCAATACAAGTAACTTTGTCAATAAATAGTAAATAAAAATATTCAACTGTATCGAAATGTTGAAAGTCATAAGGGCAATAGTTTAGATATATTAGCTTCGAATTTTATTAAGTTTTATCTTTTGTTTATATTATCTACTAGGGGTCTGCGGAACAGTTCCGAATCCCGAAAAATCTCGAATGGTCCGTCCGCAGAAGAATCGGAATTGTTCCGACAATTTTTCAGGACGGGACATTCAAAACTATTAAGAAAAAAAAATGATGTCCTGAATTTTCTAAATTCCAATATGCGAACGCGTCATAAGCTTCAGACTTCTTATGTCTAACAAATATTTTCATATTTAAATAAACAATATAATAGAAAAATACAGAAAGAAACTATTGTCAGATGACTTCAAATCTGTTCATTATCATTTCTTTTCATTAATTCTTTCACTGTTACTATAATTTAGGCATATCGTATTATTTAATTAGCATATTCTGTGAATTAGTCTGTGTATCTATAAGGATGAGAGTGTGCCTAAACTACCGTTATGCTCCAAAATAATCTTTTTTTTACATACACTTGAGGTACGGGCAAGCAAATTTCCACGAAAAATTCCAATATTTCATTCAATATTTGATAATTAGCAAAGTATTAATTTCATCTGTACCTAGACGGTTGCTTTTTGAATAACCCAAAAATGACAAAAGATATTCACCTGGGGTTTTTAATGATGGAAAAGAGACATCCTAGGCTATCTTTTCACAGCAAACTCAATTTCTGAAAACGCCTAGAAGCTGGGTTTTCTGGAAATCCACGGTTTTGCTTAAAAGTTTCAAACAAAAACGTATTGTTTGCTTTCGTAAATAGATAGTCCTGTGTGTCCTTTACAACTCCAGATTGAAATACAAGGTTATTTTTGCTTCTTGAACTGCCTGCAGATGGTTCTCCAGAGGTTTCGGATTTTGGTACGTTGACCTCTGATCAGTAAAATACACCTATAGAGGAGATAGTTCACTATCCTAAGTCGACTGGCGACGTCTTTCGTTACAACATCGAAATACCTGGTATAGTGGTAGCTATACTCACTCATTCTCAAAGAAAAAATTAAAAGTATTTGGCATTATGTTACTGATAAAATTCATAACTAACTGGATAATTTCCACTCATTTTTTGCATATGTGAATAAAACTCATGTGTATAATAGGATAAAGCTTGTTCAGTAGGTGATGAACTTGTATCAGACGCTGATGCTGAAGATGCTTGATTGACCATATATTGTCTTGTTGTATCTGGAAAATATGGTTGCGTTAAATACGACCAATATCCATTTGATATTGAAATAGAAGAAGTATAATCATTATTTGTGGAATTAGATATGTTGTCCAGTATGATGAAGATTAGTTTTATTACTACCATTGGATAATGAACTAACAGTTGAATCATATATTCCAGCAGCTGTCGTTGTATCAAAAAAATTAAAGTTTGGTATTTTCGTTGATGCTGATGGATGAATGTAGAATGATAAATAATCACCTGATTGACTAGCTTCGACTGAAGTGGGAAAGTCACTGACATGTTTTGGTGATTCTAAACAATCAGTATCATTTGTTGTTGTATCTTTTTTGAAGTTAATTTCGAGAATGATTTAATTTTGTAGCATTAGGTCTTTATGAGGGAACGACTCCATATATTCTACTTTATTCAAAAAATAAAGACAAGCAAAAACAGAAAAACACATCATTTAAATACATGCAACGCGAGCAGAAAAAGATAAGGCTTGAGTGACATGCTATTTAAAATTGATGAATTTCGATAATGTCCTTTTTGTTGTATTGCTTGTTGATGTCAATGATGATTATTTGATGATTGTTATTTAAAACGACGACGACGACGTTGTCGTAAAAATGTGCCATTTTCACGCATATCATATAAATGAGGATGCAACACCCAATAACTTCCTTTACCTATTTATGAAAAATAACTAAAAAAGTTCGTATTTTATGTCGGTATGGTCTCAAGTATAGAAAATCATAATTCGAATTGCAACATTTCCATGCCATGGCAACTCTCGAAAACTGCCCATAGAGCTAGAATGAATACTTGAAGTGTAGTTGACGTATCTTCTTCATAGCACTTTGAAGATTAAGAATAAACTCACGCCGAATAAGCTCATTTTATTCCTCTTTCATATCACTACAAAGCGCATATTTTTGTATCTTTCAAATCCTACGTTGTTACTAGAAAATTTGCTAAGGAGTGAAAAAAGTACAAATACGTTTATTAGGAAATATAATTTTTTCGAAGAGAAAAGCTTTAACGAAAAACATTAACATAGTCATTTTGTAGCGCTTGAAAAGACGAGTATGATGAGCCTATTGAATATGAGTTTATTTTAAGCCTTTGAAAATATTGGGTGATGCATAAAGAATGACGGTCTCAGTATTTTATCGATATCTTCTTCACTTTTAATCGTTCATATTTCAGCTTAGTTTTCAAAGATTCCTCGTGCGATTCTCTAAAATACGAGTCACTGTAGAGAATCGCATGAGGAGTCTTTTAAAACTAAGCCGAAATATGAGCGATTAAAATTGAAGAAGGTATCGATAAAATACTGTGACCGTCATTCTTTATGCGCCACCCGATATTATGAAGAATATACGTTAAGGGTAAGATAAATATTTGCTCTTGATATAGTGAGTGGTTTTTGATCGGTCCATATGATATATGTTCGATTCTCCGATCTTTATCAAGAACTTTTGTTTGATTACAGGAATCTCGGCAAAAAGAAGATTTCTCGAACTTTTTTTATTCAAGATTTGACGAATTACAATGAAACACCAAGAAAAGCTAATCGATACTCTCTTTCAACGAACTAAATTGCAAAGTACATTGCAATAACTGCTATTGAAAAAACTTAACAGAACTATGTATTTCAAAATCAATATTTTTCCAGACTAAGATGATTTGATAGGTTATAGAGTGTAAAAGAAATCATTCTTAAGTGCCCATCAAACACTACAACAGATTCTTTAAAATTCATAATTTTTTTTGCAAATTTTATTTTTTCGTAGACTCAACCTAAGTTTTTGTTTTTTTGGAGTGATATTATCAATCGTAGTGTTCAACTATTGGATGAAACCTTACTGAAAATTCTTAATCCATTTGACTTCGTAAAAAAATGTCTCTTAAAAGGTACATTCAGTCATAAGAGCTTGAAATATCCTATCAATCTATGAATTCTCAAAGTATTACATGAGTGAATTTTTGATTTACATTAATTTGGTCAAAAGAATAAATGTTGAGAGTTATTTTAATTCAACTTCCTGTCCTCACATTTTCCAACATTACTCGGAAACCTATAGGAGGAGTTATATATTACACTTATTTTAATGCAATAATACGTTCTTTTCAATAGTTGAAATGATTATATATTGTCTAGAAAGTATCGATATTATATTAGCTCTGTAATCGAATGTCAATATTTAACAAACCTGGTTGTTTCTCATTTCGTGCAACTTTAATAAAAGACTCATTGAATACTAAACTATATCGAATAGATCGTTGCCATTCTGCTTGATTTTCTCGATAATACTAGAGAAAAAAAATTAAAATCATTATTTCATATTTTCATTAAATACTTACAGGATAATGATCCATAATATATTGATAAATACCATTTACAGTACATTTTTGATCTGGACTATTTTGTATAGCTAATATTATTAATCCTATATAACTTATAGGTGGTTTAGTCATTTTTTTGGTAGAATTAACCGTTGCCATTGCACAAGAATATGCAGCCGCTGATGAACGCGATAATAAATGAAATGCAGCTAGAAGTGTAAGTCAATCGGCTAACCTTTCACCGCTGACAATTTTGCAGAAAAAAGTGCAGTCGTCGCTGCCGAGAAAGAAAATTTAAAAAATTTTTCAGCCGCCGCTGCCGAGAAAGAAAATTTTAAAAATTTTTCAGTCGCCGTCGCTGCCGTCGGTCAACCGAGAGGGTTACACCTCGATTCTCAGTAGTTCCATAAAATAAGTGTACTTTTCTATTCTACCTGTCTCAATTAAAAGTTGATATTGATCGTTATTTGATTCAAAATCGAATAATAAAAATATTAATTTTATATGATATGATTAAAAAATAAAAACTCAATCACGTTTTCGTAGTATGTGCAACTCAAAATTCGTCGACATCTTCAACTATATCTTCATTTGCATGAAAATATTTTTCCTCACATGAAACATAATTTTCGATGAAGTTTGTGAGCGAGTTTATACCAAATTTAGAATAACTTCGTGAAAATTTAGTTCAAAAACATACACTCAGTCTGGTGACATGTGCAGATCCGGTTGTCGATGAAGATGAAAATGACTTGAAATTAGATATCAGTTGCAATAACGTATTTCGATTTTGGCAATCATCCTCGTCGGAGACGTAATGAACAGACCTTCATATGTTGCAGCTGATACGATGAAACTTTATATTTTCAACAGTTTTTCATCGAGGATCATAAATATTTTTACTTTGTGCATTTGCTTTTTTGATTGAACTGCTCCATATAAACCTGATAATTATTAGTGAATTGTCGAAAAAAAGAAACTTTAATGAAGTGAATACTGAGATAGAC